TAGTAGTGACACTCTGTTTGTCTATGTATTCACACAAGTATTATGTTTCCGGTTAATATAAATTCTAGTATGAATAATAAACATTTATCATGAATTAAGGAAATAAATAATAACTTTATTATTGCCTCTAGGGCATATTTCCTTCATAAAACCTCCACATGTTTCCTTACTCGAACATGAAACAACATATATTGCTTTACGATAAAAAGGAGCATCGTTGCGAATGGTTGCTTCAACAAGAGTAGAGGATGGGCGCCGATGACAAAACGCCTGGGAATGGGTTGGGAGCTTATCTGTTTCTTTGTTTTGAGTTTCTTCGTTGGAATAGTTTGAAGTTTCTTCCTAGATAGCTATAGTTGTTCTAAGCTTTGTCACTACTGTATACTGCGGACAGGGGATGGAGCCCTGTGTGGTAACCATTTCACCCCCGGGTTTTTTAGTCATTCTCCCCATGGAGGCCAAGGTAGGGTGTGTGGGGGTCGAGAAAAAACTGTTTTATGACTATGTTTATGTGGTTTCCTTTCATCTCAATGAAATGAAATCGGGGCCGTGCCCCTTAATTCAAAAAAAAAAAGGAGCATCTTTGGACTCATGACTTCCTCTGCCAAGAGAGAAAGAGTCGAAGATACCGAAGGAAAGTTGGGTGGGCGCAAAACCAGTTCGTGGAAACACGGACAACATAATACACACGAGTGATCAAATTACGGTGTACTAATTTTGTTTTTTGACAGGAATTACAGCGTACTATTGATTGCTCCACATAACCCTCGCGTTGTACGTAGGTACTGTAGTACATCTGACCGAACCGACACGCATTCATCACCACCACCAGCCTATGACCCCATTGATTGATAGCTCTCTCCCACGCTCCATCTCTGCACAGCTCAGGCACAGGCAGCACCGATCGAATTATGCTAGCATCATGACCAAATTACATACACCTGCACGCCACTAGCTATGTGTAGAGTACGATTTACAGTCACGCATCACTGAGACGGAATCATGGATCCTGGTGAAGACAATTACAAGCCGCTTCAGACAGCGAGATCCAGCGCCAGTGTACGAGTGTGCTAGTGGCTAGTGCGATGGCCGGGACAAAAGCAAGCACCAACCAAAAACGGATCAATCAATCAATGGTTCCACTTCCACCCACCAAATGGCGCTAAATCCAAGCATAACCAAGCCGCATTTTACAGATCGACTCTCTCTCTCTCTCAACCGGCGCGCGCTGAGGTGGTGGTGAGGTAGCTCGGGCTCCCCGTGCCCCCCGCGCGCACTCCACTCACTCACTCTCCTCTTCCTCACCCCCACCACTTGGTTTTGGTGGCATTGATAACGCTTACTCTGCACTCCACTCGAGGAAGGTATGGAGAGAATGCAGCAGCAGGAGGAGGAGCAGCAGGCGGCGCGGCGGCGGCGGAGCCCGGGGGGATGGGAGGGGGCGGGGGCGGCCACCGTGGACGAGCGCAGCAAGAGCTTCGTCAACGCCCTGCAGGTGGGTGCATTCCTTCCCCAGATCCCACGCGCCTCCGCTCTGCTCCACGGTGGATCCAGCCGGCTCTGTTCTTGACGGTTTTGGTGGGTGCAGGAGCTCAAGAACCTGCGGCCGCAGCTCTACTCCGCCTCCGAGTACTGCGAGAGGTCCTACCTCAACACCCACCAGAAGCAGATGTGAGCCACCGCCACCTCATCTCTGCTCCTCCATTGCCAACCTCTCTGCACATCTCGTTCTCACTCTGACAGGGAGAATTTACCATCTTGCTAACATGGTGGACTGGTGATTCCTCTTACAATTGCATTTTGCGTGCTACCTAGTACATGTTGTCTCTGTTTTGTCACTTGGCATAGGGCCTAACTGAATTGAACTGAAGGTTGGTGCAGCATGCAATAGGTACTATAAGGTAGCTTGATGTCCATATGTGAGTATGTGACTAGCTAGGCAACAAATTCTGCTAGCTGAACTGAACAAGGATATGTCATTTTGGTTTTATCTGGGATTTTTGGAATCACCCAACAACAGCCTGCCTGTGTACGTATGTACTAGCCGATGAAGGAGTGGTGGCATTCAGAGTACTCTAGTACTGTATTTGTTTTCTGAAGATATCTCTTTTCTGAACAACAGCCAGCCTGCCTATGTACCATGTACTGGCGATTGGATTTATTCTGGGTGTTCCCCAATCATGTGGTGTCAGTTTGTCACTTGGTTCGAATTATATCAAAGGGGTTCACCCTGCTCATGTCTGACAGTGCAGAAGCAAGTTCTGAAGCATGGAGTAGAGTCAATTTTGTATGGTAAATTTGGTGAATGAACAGTCAACAGTGTAGTGATTTGTAATGCACATCATAACCTTGCTTCAGAATATGACATGTTTTTCCTCGTGAATACTGAACTTGCTAATCGTGGTCAGGGTGCTGGACAACTTGAAGGACTACGCGGTGCGGGCGGTTGTCAACGCCGTCGACCACCTAGGCACTGTGGCCTACAAACTGACGGACCTATTCGAGCAGCAGGCTTCCGAGATCTCGACCTTCGAGCTGAAGCTTGCGCGCTTGAACCAGGTATTTGCTTGATGTTTATCACTAAGATGCGCAGTCTATGGCGGCGAAACAATGCAGCTAATATGACACTTGCTCTGTTGTCCACCCATAGCAAATCTTCACCTGCCAAATCTATGTGGACAAAGAAGGCTCCAGGCAGCAGCAGATGATGGGGGCAAGCATGAAGCACCACAAGCACTACATCCTACCATGTAAGAAGAAATTCTGAACTTGCAGTCTTATCCTTTTCTGAAATTTTTAGTATAGTAAGTGAAAAAAAGCTGAACTTAACTTGAGAATTCTCTGTGCAAATGTAGCTACTGGTTATAAGAGAACTCAGGCTGTTGCGCACCTGGGAACCGACACTAATCAGGAATCACAGCCTAGACCTTACCCCTCAGGTGCTTCTTCTTTCAAATTTCATTTGCCACTCTGTGCCAATCACAATACGTACCTAAACAAGAAAAATCTTGGATTTCTGTGTGTGCAGCAAAGACGCTTTCCTGGCATCTGGCATCGGACAATAGCCCTTCGGCAAATAGAGCACATAAACCTACATTCATGTAAGACAGTCATCCCAATTTCTTTTAACTTTGTTTATGTGACACATGTTGTTTCTTATGCCAAGCCTAACTTGCCGCCGCCCGGTTTTTGTGCAGCCTAGATGATACGATACCATCCAAACTCGCATCAGATGGTCCGCATCTTCTTGGTACATCCGTTTTACATCCGTTTGAGTTCTTAGAGGGCATGGAATCATATGAATGTGGTTTCACCTGTCAAGTGCACATATTTTTGAACTTCTGCTCTAAGACAACATATTTGTTAACTCTCAAACTAGAATTTTGATTGCTGAGTTTACTTTGCAAATTGTCAACTGGATGTTTCATGTGAATTGCTGATGTTTCAGGTAAGGAGTTGCCTGCTTCTCCCGTGCGTAGGCCTTTGCAACTTAACAGGAATATCAAATCCGACGTCGCACAAAAGGTTGGCGCAAAGGTAAATTAGAATATGATGTAAACCTTTCAAGAAATCACACTATGCTAAGAAGGGCATCATCCTTATGTCGTAATCTATCCGTGCCAGATTTCGATTTGGTTATCCTAGTTTCTTAACGGTACCATTGTGTGCATTTTCAGGATCTGTCGGCGTTTAGTTCTTTCGACAGGCCTACAGGGCGTGAAATCCAAAAGGCTCCTGCCAGCACTAAGAGCGTGCTAGCATCTCTTTTTATCAAGCACAAGTCAGCAAAGATGAAAAGTATCTCAGCTCGATGATCCTCCCTTGATGTAATTGAAGTTTGTTGTAATAACCAGTACAAGCCAAGTAAAATGCAATTGTATCTCTTCAAGATGTCAAGTCATAACATCTCTTATCTGTGTAATATGTGCTGATTCAAAGCCTGTAATGAAAATCATATGCAAGTTTGGAAGTGTGTTTAGTTATATTCATCCAATAGCATGATCTTCCTTGAGATACTGATTTGACTAGTAAATTGTACGTGCTTTGCACGTCATTTAAATGTATATAAAAAGCATGGGAAAATACATTTGAATATGTACTTCCTTTCCTAGAATTGTTTTGGACAAGATCCAAGTTGGTTCTTACCTCTCTAGAATCCAGATTGTTCTAGTCCCTTTTTATTAGAGTATCAGATAAGCATGTCGATAGATGCTTCTAGAACACATGAGATGGTAGAGTTGGGGGTTCAATTAGAAGGCCACATGGCAGAATCCTATGAGTTGAAAACTTTATCCAACGGATGATAATGCTCGGATTTGTCATCTCTTGACCGTTGGATCGGCATACCCCACGATTAATATGTGGAGCTATTGGCACACTATATAGTGGTATAGAAAAATATTTTGCAAATCCTTTTATTACATAAACAATCAAGTGGACGAAGCACAAAACTAGATGGCTCGCCTCATAAGTGAGAAGGATACATGTTGAAATGCAAGATGAGATGGTCTAATGGCACAAAAAAGTGTCACCCAGCTCAAAACACATGAAGGGGAATAGTTGTTGATGATGGATAATGTGTCCAAGTACAAAGGATTGCTTTCAGATACCTTCCTTTGTGCTATATTCATCTGGAAACATGATCTTCCTTGATATGATCATTTAAGAGTGTTTTACAAGCCTTTCCTTACATAAATGATCAATTGGAGGAAACACAAAACCAGACGGCTCGCCTCATAAGTCATAACTCATAAGGATACATGTAAATGGTATAACATGGTAGCACAAGAAAGTGCCACCTAGCTCAGAACACGTTGAAGGGGAGAGTTCCCAATGATGGATAGTGTGTCCAAGTATAAAGGATCACTTGCAGATACCTTACTAAATTCCGTGGCCAAGCATGAATGGTTCGCTCATTTCTCGCCAATTAAGATCTTGACTGGTCACCTGTCTCAATGCATTCATAGGAATCACAAGCTTCGCATAAACCATTGCAAGACTTAAAATAGGCGCCGTCGATTTGGAACAATCTCTGGGCTGTTATTCTTCATCATCGCAACAAACTCCTGGTAGTTAATTTTCCCATCCTAGGCAAAAAAATAGGAAATGCTGTAGTGAGTAAGTGAGTTCAGTAGTGCTTCATTTGAACGTTTTACTTGGGACTTGTGAGCATAAGGATTAGTAATGTTTACATCCACCAAAAAGGTTAAAGCAAATTGTTTTAAGGCGTGATTTTTTATGGCTGGAGCTTATATAAAAGCGATGAACTCGGTTGGTTTATCTAATCTAACATAACAAAATGAGTTTTTAAACAAAGCAGTATTGATGGAAGCCTAGGTGCTTACATTAAAGTGATGAACTCTGTTGGTTTATCTAATCTAACATAAGAAAATGAGTTCTTAAAACAAAGCAGTTTGGATAGAAGTCCAGGTGCTTCGCCTCGACATAAATCAGGCTGTTAATTTTATCTCATAGACACTATTTTTTGTATACATCCACAATCTAACAGAGATGACACAAATTCCCGAATATCTTGAAACAAAACCTCCTACCATGTCTCCAAGATGATCTGTTTAGTCTATTATATTCTCGAACTGAATAGTAAGTTAGCAAAATCGATACAATATTTTACGTCTTCATGACTGAGATAATGTATGCTCAGGAAGCAGATAATGGACTTATTTGGGCTTTTGCTGGAGTTACTCACATGATCTGTATCCACTTCAGCAATGATATCTTTGATTGTTGCCTCATCACCCATATCATACTTCTTCAGAGCTTCTTCCAACTCATCAACTGTTATGTACCTATGCAAAAGGAAAGTTTGCAAGCAACTTGATGGTTAATGAAATACTTAAAAGTTGGCAGATTAATTTAAGAATAGTTACAACTGAAATTACCCGCTGTGGTCCTTGTCAAAGTATTCGAATGCTTTAAATATGTGGTCTTCCTTCTCTAGTCTATTCATGTGCATTGTTGCCGATATGAATTCAACATAATCAATGGTCCCATTTCCATCAACATCAGCCTGTTCAACAACGTAAGATGATGATTAAGGAGCTGAAACAGAAAGTGCTGGAGTAGTCAGGCGACACGGACCGTTCTACCAGAAACGTGGACAAGTCGATTTCGATTGAGGTCGTTATACCGACTAAAGTCGTATGGTATCATTCACTATCTTCCTTTTTAGATATAAGTGCACACCCCCTGCAGCCTTTTAGTAAATGATTGGCACTAATACAGAACAGAGAGAAATATGCACCGTTTTTTGTTTCTATTATGATATTTGTACCATGCCATGCCGATAAGATAAGCGTGCATAGACAGGAAGGAAGAAGATAAATTAAGCAAGCATACCGCCTCCATTAACTGTCTTATTTCTGATTCGGTAATTTTGGTACCAAGCTTTGGTAAGCCAGCCCTTAGTTCATCAAGGGTAATTGTCCCACTATTATCAGTATCCAGGGACTTGAACATTTCTCTTAAGCCCACGATCTCTTCCTCTGACAAGCTCTCTGCAACAATCTGAATATAGAAGGGAAATGATCACCAAGATTTAAATGGACTGCCAAGCAAGAAAAGAAAAAAGATTGGAGTTCAGATCATTTGAGTACCTTCAAGGCAACCTTCTTAAGCTTGTTCATCGCCCTGAACTGCTTCATTCTACTGATCACTGTAATATCAAGTGGTTTATCTGGGGCTTCTCCATCCTCTCTAATCCATGGATGATCTGCGTGCTTAAACAGATTAGATTGCGACACTAATACACTATCATGCACATGAGCAAAATGATCTGCACAACCAAGATTGTCAGTGAATGGGTGGAGAAGAGACTTACTCAAAATTTCAGCAGCCGTAAGCCGCTCCTTGGGGTCCTGCCGTAGCATCCTCTTGACCAAGTCTTTAGCCCCATTCGAAATCGATGGCCAGGGATCGGACGAGAAATCAATGTGACCTTTGAGAACAGCATCAAATATACCCTCCTCGTTCTCTGGTAATCAAAACCAAGTGGGAAAAGGAGACACAGAGGGTTCATGTTAGGATAACTGAACTCATTTCCCAGCCTCTGCCTCAATAACAATGCAAAAATTGATTGAGCCGCGAGATGCACCTGCCCAGAATGGAGGAACGCCGGAGAGGAGAATGTAGAGGATAACTCCAGCACTCCAAATGTCAGCCTCAGCTCCGTATCGCCGCTTCAGCACCTCCGGAGCCACATAGTATGCACTCCCAACAAGATCCCTGAACTGCTCGCCTGCATTTCCATCATCCACCCTTTAATCTCGAGCACAACTTGAGCTCGGTTATTACTAGTAAATTGAAGCGAGCTAGCACACTACAGATACACTAGTAAGTCGTGGTTAATTGCAGAGACAACATGAACTAAGGCGAATAGTTGAAGGTTTCTCCCCTCTCCCTTTCCAGACACTAGTAAATTCAGTAACCACCATGAATTGAATTCATCAGTGCAATTAACTAGTCAATGAATCACTGACCGGGCTTGAAGAAGACGGAGAGCCCGAAATCGGTGGCCTTGAGCGGGGAGTCCTCCCTCTTATTCAAAAACAAGAAGTTCTCGGGCTTGAGGTCGCGGTGCATGACCCCCATGGAGTGGCAGCTATGCACAACACTGACGACCTCCCGGCAGAGCGTGGCGGCGGCGCGCTCGGAGTAGTGGCCGCGGGCGATGATGCGGTCGAAGAGCTCGCCGCCCTCGCAGAGCTCCATGACGAGGTTGACGGAGTGGCGGTCCTCGTAGGCGCCGCGCAGCTCGACGATGCTGCGGTGGCCCGTGAGGTGGTGCATGATCTGCACCTCCCGCCGCGCGTCCTCCACGTCGTCGGCGCGGGCCAGCTTCCGCGCCGCGATGGACTTGCAGGCGTAGCGCGCGCCGGTGGACTTGTGGGTGGCGAGGTAGGTGACGCCGAACTGGCCCCGGCCCAGCTCCCGGCCGAAGGTGTAGGTGGCGCGGACGTCCTCCATCGGCCGGCCCAGGACCCGGCCGATG